TCATGCCACCTGTACTAATAAACGTGAACATAAAACACAGACCCCAACCCCCCTCCCGTCCCTTTACTGAGTGACTTCCCCAAACGAAGCACTCCTTGGCTAACACACAAACGTTAGGGTGTCTAGACATAAAGCTTGAACTAACTCGTCGTCTATAGATGCTCCGCATATAAACTAATATTAAATAACACTTAACTTAACTCTCATGTTAGGGGGTGAGTGGCGCTAAAACATGACATGCCAAACAATGCTATATTAGCCACAACATCTCACCTATCCTATAAGTCCCAATTTCTGATCTTCTGATCGAAAAGACATAGGCCGGAAATTCAATTCACACACATTCCTGGCCTGTATTTGGCCATTTAGCCTGCTGGCACAGCCGTTCTGTATCCTCAGCCGGGGAGCTTGCTTGTCAAGAACAGATCTGCCTCTTTTGCGTTGTCAAACGTACGTGTTGATCCCTCGACTGTCACCTTAAACCGGGCTGGGAAGAGGAATCCATATCGGATGTTGGCCGCCCTGCATTTGTTGCGTACCTCATCATACTCTTTCCGTTGGTTCCTCACCTCCAAGGTAAGATCTGGGTAGAAAGACACCCTGGCTCCGTTGTAGTTAAGGGGGAACTTTTGACTAGCCAGCTTGAGGATGAGATCCCTGGTGTGGGGATAGTGCAGCCTTACAATGAATGGCCTTGGTGGCCCGCCCTTGGCCGGCTTCGTTGCCTGTGCTCTGTGTGCGCGGTCGATCAGGATGGCCGTTTTGAAGTGTTCACTCCCCAGCAATGCCGGTATCAGCTCCGAGACAAATTCAGTGGGTTTCCCTTTCTCCGTGTCCTCCTGGATCCCACATATTCGGATGTTCTGGCGTCTTGAATGCGACTCGAGCATTTCCAGTCGGGCCTTCAGGGTTTTGTTGTCATTTTTGAACGTTGCGCACTGTTTCTCTATGTCCTGTAGCCTGGCCTCGTGATCGATTGTCGTCTGCTCAACCTCGTGCACCCTTCCCTTAGTTGCCTTCACAGTTTCGGCCAAAGTCCCAATACTCTTTGAGATATCAGCCAACCTTGTGTCCACCTTCTTGCTTAGTGCGTTTATGGCAGCCAGTATGTCACTTTGAGTAGGATCTGTGGGGAACTCTTGGAAGCTAGCCTCTTCAGCTAGCTCCTCGTGGGTCGGCGACGTTGAAATTGGTTCGTTGTCTATCTCATTCCAATTATCTTGTTTAGCGCCCCCTTTTTTGTTGCCTTTTCCCTTTGTCATATTTGTTTGAAGTTATAGGTTGTGAGAGGTTAAGATAAATATTAATTTGTTTCAAAATTGAGCGGAGCTCTAGCAATGCACGTCTACTCCATAGCACGCTCTCTAGCGCCCCCCTCTCTCTTCGGAATTTTGATCTGCCATCTTGGCTTTTGGCATGGGGGATTCAAATCTCTCCCCATGAAGATCATCACTCATTTCCAAATCTGTCTGAGTTTGGCATTCGACTACACCTTTTGTAATGAACTTGACTAATCTGTTTTTAAGAACTTTTCCAGTGTCAGTTACTTAACGGAGGAATAAACACACATGTTCATCGTTGGTGTTTTAACCAGAACGGGGGAATGCACTTTCTATATTTTTACACATGCGCAGTTGTACATCTCTCATAGGGCATGACTGTACCAGTGTAAGAACACATTTAATAACATATTAGTCTATATGTTAACAGTATTTATGTCTGTAATATAGCCCTTTTGTGGGGAAAAACTCATTCTGATTGGCTGGGCCTGGCTGCCAGGTGGGTGGGCCTATGCCCTCCCAGGCTCACCCACGGCTGCACCCCTGCTCAGTCATGTGAAATCCATAGATTAGTTCCTAATGAATTGATTTCAATTGACTGATTTCCTTATAAGAATCGTAACTCTGTAAAATCTTAGACATTTTTGCATGTTGCTTTTATATTTTTGTTCAGTATATGTGTACCTAATGTTACAGTTTAAAAGTCACACAATGTATAAACGTATTACAACTGGAGCAGGCCAACCCTGCTGGGTGTGCCATTTTCTTTTCCAGCCCAGCACTAACACACCTGATTTAATGTATCAAACCTAATTAGTTAATAATCAAGTGTGCTATTGCTGGGCTGGAACAGAAGTCTGCTGACCCAGTAGATCAGTGATCAGCGGTGCGAGGTTGGCCACCTCTGGTATCGACTTTTCTTTTGTTCACCTGAAATGTTGCTTTAGTAATAATAGCCTACTGTTTACTAAGGTGTCTATCCTTTACATACAGTGCCTTGCGAAAGTATTCACCCCCCTTGGCATTTTTCCTATTTTATTGCCTTACAACCTGGAATTAGAATGGATTTTGGGGGGGGTTGTATCATTTGATTTACACAACATGCCTACCACTTTGAAGATGCAAAATATTTTTTGTTGTTAAACAAACAAGAAATGAGACAAAAAAACAGAACTTGAGCATGCATAACTATTCACCCCCCCAAAGTCAATAATTTGTAGAGCCACCTTTTGCAGCAATTACAGCTGCAAGTCTCGGGGTATGTCTCTATAAGCTTGGCACATCTAGCCACTGGGATTTTTGCCCATTCTTCAAGGCAAAACTGCTCCAGCTCATTCAAGTTAGATGGGTTCCGCTGGTGTACAGCAATCTTTAAGTCATACCACAGATTCTCAATTGGATTGAGGTCTGGGCTTTGACTAGGCCATTCCAAGATATTTAAATGTTTCCCCTTCAACCACTCGAGTGTGCCATGTTGACCTTCCAGTGACCAGTATGAGGGAGTGTGAGAGCGATGACACCAAATTTAACACACCTGCTCCCCATTCACACCTGAGACCTTGTAACACTAACGAGTCACATGACACCAGGGAGGGAAAATGGCTAATTGGGCCCAATTTGGACATTTTCACTTAGGGGTGTACTCACTTTTGTAGGCAGCGGTTTAGACATTAATGGCTGTGTGTTGTGTTATTTTGAGGGAAAAGCAAATTTACACGGTTATACAAGCTGTACACTCACTACTTTACATTGTAGCAAAGTGTCATTTCTTCAGTGTTGTCACATGAAAAGATATACTCAAATATTTACAAAGATGTGAGGGGTGTACTCACTTTTGTGAGATACTGTATACTGAGATCATGTGACAGATCATGTGACACTTAGATTGCACACAGGTGGACTTTATTTAACTAATTATGTGACTTCTGAAGGTAATTGGTTGCACCAGATCTTATTTAGGGGCTTCATAGCAAAGGGGGTGAATACATATGCACGCACCACTTTTCCGTTATTTATTTTTTTGACGTTTTTGAAACAAGTTTTTTTTTAAATTTCACTTCACCAATTTGGACTATTTTGTGTATGTCCATTACATGAAATCCAAATAAAAATCAATTTAAATTACAGGTAGTAATGCAACAAAATAGGAAAAACGCCAAGGGGGTTTAATACTTTTGCAAGGCATTGTAGTCAGGAAGGTACAGGAAGCAATTGATGAGGTAGAGTGGTGGGCATTAATGTGGGGATTCAGGTTCTCTGTAGAGAACTCAAACAGTGTTCTTTACCAGGAGGAAGGTGGGAGATGAGGTATACTTGAGGTTATATGGGAGAAACTTGGAGAGGGTGGGGGCCTTCAGGTTCCTTGGGGTATACTTTGATACTAGACTGACCTGGGCAGAACACATTGAGAGAGTGGTGGGAAAGTGTAAGAAGGTGCTACATGTGATGCGGTGTCTGACGGGGAAGGAGTGGGGGGCTGGGCGTTCTTCATTGAGGACCATGTATGTTGCATTGATCCAATCTGTAATAGACTATGGCAGTATAGCGTATGGTTCGGCAGCCCGGACCTCATTGGAAAGGCTAGATGTCATACAGGGGCAAGGACTCAGAATATGTAGTGGAGCGTTCCGGACGTCCCCAGTGGCTGCATTACAGGTGGAGATGGGGGATACGCAATTGCATATTAGGAGACAGCAGCTGGCAATGAATTATTGGGTCAACCTACAAGGACATGGGCTGTCTCATCCTGCGAAAGGGATTTTACAGGCATGCTGAGCGAAGACAGAACACAAGCTTTGGTTGGGTAATACCCAGGCGAAGGAGATGGGACTGTATGGAAGGGAGTTTAGTCCAACGGTAGCTATTCCTGTAAATCCACCATGGCTACTCCCGCCTCCAGTAGTTGATCTAGAAGTGTTGGAGAGACTTCAGAAAGATAGGGAGAGTGTTGATCCATCTGATTTGTTTAAGAGACGTCTGGATACTGTGTATTAGGATTTTGTGGCCATTTACACAGATGGTTCAAAAGATCCAAATACAGGACGTATTGGGTCAGCATTTGTAGTGCAGGAATGTGGGGTGGAAGTCAGGAAACGTATTACAGATCATCTGGCTGTATATACGGCAGAGCTGATGGCCATACTGTTGGCCTTGCAGTGGGTGGAGGAAGTCAAACCAGACAGAGTAGTTATTTGCTCTGATTCATGTGCAGTGTTAATGAGTCTCCAGTCCTTTAACTCACATAGCAGACCTGCTTTATGAGGTGCTACAAACCCATGGCAGGATTAGACAGATGGGTATACAGATAAGATTTACTTCGGTCCCAGCCCATGTGGGGGTGGAGGAGAACGAGGCAGTTGATGTACTGGCTAAACAAGCACTTAGTAGTGGGGATGTTGATGTTGTAGTTTCAATGAGCAAGGCAGAGGCAAAAAGCCTGAAGTAGTCTATAGCTTTTCTGGTGAGACAGGGCCATCTAGTGTTGTAGCCTAGAAATGACGCTTATGACTCACAATGAAAGAAATGAAAGTGGAAACAACCACCGTAAGATTCGATTCCCAGGGATGACACTGAACACACTGAACCGGTTGTTTCACCCACCATAAAACGTGTTGAGACGTACAATCTCCTGTATCGGAGAAAAGGGACATCCACAGTGGGTATCAGAGAGCAGAACATCTTGCTGTTTATTTCAGTTTCATCACTAAATAATAATACACCATGAATAACACGCTGAACCAACATTATGAGGAGAAGGTGCGTCCCTGTATAGACCTTATCGACTCCCTGCGCTCGCTTGGTGTGGAGAAGGACCTTGCGCTGCCTGCCATCGCCGTGATAGGGGACCAGAGTTCTGGAAAGAGCTCAGTGCTGGAGGCGCTGTCTGGGGTGGCTTTGCCAAGGGGGAGTGGTGAGTGATAATTCATGAAACTGAAATGACAAATATTTATCATCTATCAAAGTCTCAGAGAGGTTGAATAAGTGAGCCTATATTGATTTGATTATCATTTTATCTCTAATTTGTTAGGTTAAAGGGGAAGTTCACACCTACTCATTCCAGGGTTTTTATTTATTTTTTACTATTTTCTACATTGTAGAATAATAGTGAAGACATCAAAACTATGAAATAACACATTTGGAATCATGTAGTAAACAAAAAAGTGTTAAACAAATCAAAATATATTTTATAGTTGAGAAGTAGCCTCCCTTTGCCTTGATGACAGCTATGCACACTCTTGGCATTCTCTCAACCATCTTCATGAGGTAGTCTCCTGGAATGCTTTTCAATTAACAGGTGTGCTTGTTAAAAGTTAATTTGTGGAATTTCTTTCCTTAATGCGTTTGAGCCAATCAGTTGTGTTGTGACAAGGTAGGGGTGGTATACAGAAGATAGCCCTATTTGGTAGAAGACCAAGTCCATATTATGGCAAGAACAACTCAAATAAGCAAAGAGAAATGACAGTCCATCAATACTTTAAGACATGAAGGTCAGTCAATCTGTTTTCTAACATGCTTTAGACACATTTTCATAATGCATTGTGGTCAATGATTGATGACTCAGCAAAATGTGTCTACCAATTTGATGTCAAATGCGTTGGGGGATCAACTACAAGCACAGAAAGATGGAATATTGCACAATTTCATTTTATCGTACTGGACATTTTTGTATATGGGCTGTTTTTCTCTAGGTTTCATTTAATCTCTTTCACTCTAACTCCTCCTCTGTCAACTCTGACAGGTATTGTAACACGATGCCCTCTCGAGCTGAAGATGAAGAGGAAGAGAGAAGGAGAGAAATGGCATGGAAAAATCAGCTACCAAGACCATGAGGAGGAGATTGAGGACCCCTCTGATGTGGAGAAGAAAATTCGAAAAGGTGGGTGCGGTCACTCTCATTGACCCACTCTCATTACCTCAAGTGTCTAAACTGAGTTACTATTCTTCACTAACATACTATTTTTATCTATACCTAAAATCATTAAAAATATATCATTAACTGTTGGTACAGTTAACTATTTCTAAGGCACCTGTATTCTTGTTCCCCCCTCCAGCCCAGGATGAAATGGCAGGTGTGGGGGTGGGTATCAGTGATGACCTCATCAGCCTGGAGATTGGCTCCCCTGACGTCCCAGACCTCACACTCATCGACCTGCCAGGCATCGCCCGGGTAGCTGTCAAGGGTCAACCTGAGAACATTGGTGAACAGGTACACCACTCCACCCCACCCTCAATGTTAGTGGGAAAACACTGTGCATTTTTAACCCCAGTCTTAGAACAGAAACCAAGTCCCCCCACGACATGTTATGTATAATAATATTTGACATTTTCAGATTAAGAGACTGATACGGAAGTTCATCACAAAGCAAGAAACAATTAGCTTGGTGGTTGTGCCATGCAACGTTGACATAGCAACCACAGAGGCTTTGAAGATGGCACAAGAGGTGGACCCTGAAGGGGAAAGGACATTAGGTAATCCACCCTTTAATATTTACTCAACTATTATGAAGCAAGCTCTTGTGTAATGGTGGTTATAAACCATGTTGACTTGTGTTGACTTTAATGAGTTAGACTTAATGAGTTAGACTTATTCCCATTGGACAGGCATCCTGACCAAGCCTGACCTTGTAGACAAAGGCACAGAGGAGACGGTGGTGGACATAGTACATAATGAGGTTATCCACCTGACTAAGGGCTACATGATAGTCAAGTGCAGGGGCCAGAAGGAAATTATGGAGCAAGTCTCACTGACCGAGGCCACAGAGAGGGAGAAGGCCTTCTTCAAAGAGCACCTTCAACTCAGGTTGGTACTGTGTGTTGAAGTGTGCTTTATGTCTGGTACACAGAGGGAAGTTCTGCTCTTTCCCCACAAGATAACAAGATTTACCAAAGATTCCAGCCAACGAGCCAGACCATCTTAAGCATGAAACACACTGAGAATCTGAGAGCCTATAGACTGCCGATAGGTTCTTATCACAGTAGAGGCCGTTCCTTCTCTTGCTAGAATAAAATACGTACATGCTGTGTACCGACCTGGTACTGATGAAACTGCAGTTTCTACTTTTAGAATCGCAATGCATGGCAGTGGACGACAACTTGACTTTGAGCCAATCAGAGAGTACGGACCTCCACGTGGGGGAGGCGACAGGACCCTTACGAAGAACGAATGCAATCAGAGTGCAGTATAACTGCAGTATGTTGCAAATACTGCGTCCAAAATAACACCGTTTTTTTTACTGCAGTAATTTTGCAGTGTAATTGCAGTTACAGTGCAGTACACTGCAGTTATTCTGCAATTACTGCATCCAAAATACTAAGAAAAAAAAGAAAAAATAGGGCACTTTTTCCGGTCTCATCCACCCTTTTCATCAGAATTGTTCTTCAAGCACAAAATGCTTGAAGAAGTTTTTTTTGTTAGGTTTGATAATGTGCACTAGCTTATTAGTTAGCTTCCTAACTGAGCAAGGCAGTCACACATACCTCATATGAAACAAATGGGGTGGTAATAAGTGCAGCACAATGCGCACAACACTAAATGCTTTACCAAGCTAGCTATCTGGCCACTGTAGCTAGTAACACTATAATTAAATCACAATGGATTCGTTTCCATGACGCAGCTGCCTGTAGCTGGATGCAGAGAATCAATGCAGTGTCTTTACTTGCTAGCTTGCAAATCATGCTAATAATTTAGCTAACATTAGCCAGGTAGCTAAAAATGTATCTATGGGCAGTATGCGATTATGGAGAGTGAATAAAAATCTTGCTAGCTAGTTATCTAGCTGTTGCCATCTGGCTAGTATCAACAAGGGCTATCTACAACAATAGCAACATTAGCGCAGCTAGCTAGCCAACACTGACTAGACCATAAAGCAACTCACACAGACATGCATTGCCAAGCAAACACTACTGCCACCTTCTGGTTTGAAGTATTTTAACAAGGTTGAGTGGCTGATGACTTCAAGGTCTTTGCTGTGTGAGCACAAAAGAGATTGACTGCCGACACTCTGTTCAGAGTTGCTAAGTAGTCGGCCGGGAAACATTTGTAAATTCTATCGGTGTGTCATTTTCAGATCTGTGTTGTTGTTGTCTTGTTGTCAGACAAATGCATCAACGTTTTCTGAAAGGTTTGCATTGTGTTTTCACATTTTCCCTATCCTTTATGCAGCACACTTTATGATGAGGGGCATGCCACCATCCCTAAACTGGCAGAGAAATTAACTCTTGAACTAGTGCATCATATCGAGGTAAATTCCACTTCCATTACATATGCTGCACAAAATACTATACCTTCGTTTTTGAATGAATGGTCTCTTGTTGTTTTCGAGTACCCAGTTGGATTGTGGATGAATTAAAAAAACTGATACACAAACATGTTTTGTGTATGATTTTTAATTACATTATGATGTCCCTGTACCTCTCTGGCTTGATGTGAATACACAGTGATGATTTGCAGGGTGTATTGTTATATGCCTTGTTTCCATGTCTTTCTTTGTGTTTAGAAATCCCTGCCTCGTCTAGAAGAGCAGATTGAGGAAAAGCTGGAGGAGACACGCACCGCTCTGGAGAGATGTGGTACCGGACCCCCTGAAGACCCAAAAGAGCGGCTGTATTTTCTGATCGATGTGAGTCCCTGAAGCTCAGAGCCATCATAGTCCCTCATTTTTAGGATACACTGACATGTGATACTTCCTCTTTCCATGTGGCAGAAAGTGACTTTGTTCACCCAGGATGCCATTAACCTGAGCACTGGGGAGGAGCTGAAAAGCGGAGACATCAATGTCTTCTCCACACTCAGAACAGAATTTGGGAAATGGAAGGCACACCTGGATCACTCAGGAAAGAACTGTGAGTGCACAATTCTCATACATCAATCAAACATTGGCCACAAACACTGGGTCAGGAAGTTTGGTAACTGAGAATTGCCATTTATGTCAATATGTTTTCTTCTCCTTTTCATGTATCACCCATCATCAAAATGTCAAATGTAGTGCCCAGATATTTCAAGACATATCATATCAAAGTTGTAGATAAAAAATAATGTAGCCTTATAGCACCTTTCTTGTGAATCCAAAATAACATTGAATGCTTACACTCACTCATTTAGTGTTAAGCTAAATGACAATGTGGATGCCTCATATTGCAGTTAATAAGAAGATTGAAAAAGAAGTGGCTGATTATGAGAAGAGGTACCGTGGAAGGGAGCTCCCAGGGTTCATCAACTACAAGACCTTTGAGGTGATGGTGAAGGACCAGGTCAAACAACTGGAGGAACCAGCAGTCAAGAAGCTGAAAGAGATATCAGGTACAGTATTGAGTACAAAGATCTCTTTTTTATTGTATTTTTTTTTTAACTTATCCTGAAACCCAGTCATTGGGTTTGATTCAACTATGAAGCCACCAAAAGGATTTACATTTTCCCATCCAAGAATGTAGTCTATCTTTGAGTTTGGTAGTAGTTTTGAGTCCGACCGATGTCCGATCTTAATTTAAATTGACCAGTATTGTCGCAGCAAAGTGTTCCTGCAGTACCAGGATTTTAACGTTTAGTCCATAATGTTGCTAGCCGGCCAAAATTAGGCTACATGCAAAGTGCTTATTTGTTTATTTGGATCCCCATTAGCTTTTGCAGAAGCAGCAGCTACTCTTCCTGGGGTCCACAAGAAACACAATATATGACAAGTAACAAAATACTGATACACTGATAAACAAGGACAGTCACAGAAATGTTCAATACAACGATATACAAACAATACAACTAAACAAGTATGTGTGTGTGTGTGTGTGTGTGCAATACTGTTAATATAACCTTGTGTTATTGTGTGTTTTCAGTGAATTTATGTAAATCATGAAGCTCATCTGCATTTCCTGCTGTGCACGGAAATTCTTAGCAACAAAAAAGTGATAAAATGAAGATCCTACATCTGTATGTATCACAGTGGTGTTTCTTCTCTTCTCTGGATGCTGCTAGGAAGGTGTTCATACAGCTGGCTCAGAACACCTTCACAGGATTCCCTATCCTCCTGAAAACAGCAAAGGTACACTTTACATAACTTTCTATATACTTTTCCATATTCATGTCACCATTTAACCCTAAACTAAAATCGCCACAACTGGCCATCAAGTTAAACCTAAACAAGATGCGGAGATAACACACTGAATAACTTGTTTTTTGTTTTTGGCCTTCAGACTAAGATCGAGACCATAAAGCAGGAGAAGGAGTCTACAGCTGAGTCCATGTTGAGGACTCAGTTCAAGATGGAGCTGATAGTGTACACACAGGACAGCACCTATAACTACAGCCTGAGGAAGAGGAAGAGGGAGGAGGAAGAGCTGGAGGAGGGAGAGTTAGTTATAAAGTCTCCCCTTCCTTCAACTTTTGGGAGTCAGAGAGGGTTCTCTGGTGCCTCTGTAAAGAGGACTGTCAACGGCCTTGCCACCCATGCTACCCTACGGGAGATGATGCTGCACCTCAAGTCCTATTATCATGTAAGTCAAGAGTATTTACATTAGAGCTGATACACTCCTCTTCGATAGATAACTCATCCCTTTATCTTTGCCAGATTGCCAGTCAGCGTCTGGCTGATCAGATTCCCATGGTGATCCGCTACCTGGTGTTGCAGGAGTCTGCTTTCCAGCTGCAGAGAGAGATGCATCAGATGCTGCAGGAGAAGGACAACATCGAGTACCTGCTGAAGGAGGACATTGACATCGGCAGCAAGAGGGCTGCACTGCAGAGTAAGCTCAAACGCCTGATGAAGGCACGCAGCTACCTAGTGGAGTTCTAGTATGGACAGCTGCTTGTTAACATTTAGGATGGTCTTGTCTAATGTCAGATAGCTTGGTTAATGGAAGTAGGCCTACGTGTGCATTGCATTGAGGTTTGGGGTAGACTCTGTAATCTAAGTTATAATAAAGTTACTATGCAATCAAGTTCTTTGTTATCGTTTTTTGTTTATAATATTAAACTCAAATGCCTTATGAAGGCAAGCAGCTAGCCTACCTGGTGGAGTGGAAAGCTGCCTGATAGCATTTGGGAACAGAGATGGAAGTGCAATCTTTTCATTAATAGGCAATGTATAATTTATTTTCTGATATTTTCACTTGTGGTTTATAGTTTATATTTCTGAAAATATACTTTTTATTGTTATTTACGGTGCTTACTCTTTATAATGTTTGGATGGGCCTCTGGGGACAACAGAACATCAACTAACCCACTTGGCAAAAACTGGTTGAATCAACATTGTTTTCACGTAATTTCAGCCCTAGTGAAAGAATCCTATAGGATTAGTGATTTTTCCAATAGAATCGTATAGGATTCACACAATTCTACAGGATTTCATCACCTCTATCAGAATCCTATTGGAATCCTATTGGAATACTTTTCTCATATTGGAAATAAAAAGTAATCATATTGGATTCTATAGGATTCTCGCAGTCCTATAGGATTTAGTGTCACCTGTATTAGAATCCTATTGGGAATAAAAAGTAATCCTATCATACCATATATGATTCTTGCAATCCTATAGGATTTTGTATCACCTCTACCAGAATCCTATTGGAATCCTATATTGGACAACTCTTATTCCTATTGGAAATCAAAAGTAACCGATTGGATCCTATCGTTTTTTTTTAATGATTATTTTTTTAACAATACACAACATCCACATACAAACGAAAACATACAGATGCACACAAACATCCATAACATCATCCCAGACTCACCTGCTCACAACCCCATCTACAGCTCCCACCTCAAACTGCAACATTTTGTTTCTCTCCATCGCCCACACTCTTTCAACATTTAGATAATAAAGCATTTTACCTTTCCATTGTGTAAATGATGGAGGATTGATTGATTTCTAGTTTTTAAGTGTGTTTTTTCAAGATGATTGACAAGAAAAGCATGGTCCAACCCATCGGGTATCTCACTGCAACCTCATATGCCATGTCTTGAAATATGCAGACAGACTGACGTTTTTTTTTCCTATAGGTTTTTGATAAGTCTTGTAGGATTTTGTCACCCCAATTCTAATCCTATTATAACTTTGTTTTCTTAATTTAATATAAATAAAATCACATTTTATTGGTCGCATACACATATTTAGCAGATGTTATTGCAGGTGTAGCGAAATCCTTGTGTTCCTAGCTCCAACAGTGCAGTAATATCTAACAATTCACAACAATAAACACACATCTAAAAATAAAATAATGGAATTAAGAAATATATAAATATTAAAATGAGCAATGTCGGAGTCCGTAGTATAAATATATACTGCGCATTCAGAAAGTATTCAGACCACTCGACTTTTTCCACATTTTGTTACGATACAGCCTTATTCTAAAATCGATTAAATCGTTTTTTTCCCCCTCATCAATCTACACACAATACCCCATAATGACAAAAAAATACTGAAATATCACATTTACATAAGTATTCAGACCCTTTACTCAGTAGTTTGTTGAAGCACTTTTGGCAGCGATTACAGCCTCAAGTCTTCTTGTGTATGATGCTACAAGCTTGGCACACATGTATTTGTAGCCTGGTTCCTCTCTAGGTTTCTTCCTAGGTTTTGCCTTTCTAGGGAGTTTTTCCTAGCCACCGTGCTTCTACACCTGCATTACTAGCTGTTTGGGGTTTTAGGCTGGGTTTCTGTACAGCACTTCGAGATATTAGCTGATGTAAGAAGGGCTATATAAAATAAAATTGATTGATTGATTGATTGATTGTGGATTTTCTCCCATTCTTCTCTGCAGGTCCACTCAATCTCTGTCAGGTTGGATGGGGAGCGTCGCTGCACAGCTATTTGTAGGTCTCTCCAGAGATATTAGATCGGGTTCAAGTCTGGGCTCTGGCTGGGCCACTCAAGGACATTCAGAGACTTGTCCCGAAGCCACTCCTGCATTGTCTTGGCTGTGTGTTTAGGGTTGTTGTCCTGGTGTAAGGTGAACCTTCGCCCCAGTCTGAAGTCCTGAGCGCTCTGGAGCAGGTTTCATCAAGGATCTCTCTGTACTTTGCTCCGTTCATCTTTCCCTCGATCCTGACTAGTCTCCTAGTCCCTGCTGCTGAAAAACATCCCCCCACCATGCTTCATGGTAGGGATGGTGCCAGGTTTCCTCCAGACGTGATGCTTGGCATTCAGGCCAAAGAGTTCAATCTTGGTTTCATCAGACCAGAGAATCTTGTTTCTCATGGTCTGAGAGTCATTTAGGTGCCTTTTGGCAAACTCCAAGTGGGCTGTCATGTGCCTTTTACTGAGGAGAGGCTTCCGTCTGGCCACTCTACCATAAAGGCCTGATTGGTGGAGTGCTGCAGAGATGGTTGTCCTTCTAGAAGGTTCTCTCATCTCCACAGAGGATCTCTGGAGCTATATCAGAGTGGCCATCAGGTTCTTGGTAACCTCCCTGACCAAGGCCCTTCTCCCCCGATTGCTCAGTTTGGCCGGGCGGCCAGCTCTAGGAAGAGTCTAGGTGGTTCCAAACTTCTTCCATTTAAGAATGATGGAGGCCACTGTGTTCTTGGGACCTTCAATGCTGCAGAAATATTTTTGTACCCTTCCCCAGATCTGTTTCTCGACACAATCCTGTCTCTGAGCTCTACGAACAATTCCTTCGACCTCTTGACTTGGTTTTTGCTCTGATATGCACTGTCAACTGTGGGACCTTATATAAACAGGTGCATGCCTTTCCAAATCATGTCCAATCAATTGATTTTACCACAGGTGGTCACCAAACAAGTTGTAGAAACATCTCAAGGATGATCAATGGAAACAGGATGCACCTGAGTTAAATTTCGAGTCTCATAGCAAAGGGTCTGAATACTTATGTAAATAAGGTATTTCTGTTTTCTATGTTTCATTAATTTGCAAAAATGTCTAAAAACCTGTTTTCACTTGGAGTTTGCCAAAAGGCACCTAAAGACTCTCAGACCATGAGAAACAAGATTCTCTGGTCTGATGAAACCAAGATTGAACTCTTTGGCCTGAATGCCAAGTGTCACGTCTGGAGAAAACCTGGCACCATTCCTACGGTGAAGCATGGTGGTGGCAGCATCATGCTGTGGGGATGTTTTTCAGCGGCAGGGACTGGGAGACTAGTCAGGAGAGGCAAAGATGAACGGAGCAAAGTATGGAGAGATCCTTGACGAAAACCTGCTCCAGAGTGCTCAGGACCTCAGACTGGGGTGAAGGTTCACCTTCCAACAGGGCAACGACCCTAAGCACACAGCCAAGACAACGCAGGAGTGGCTTCGGGACAAGTCTCTGAATCTCCTTGAGTGGCCCAGCCAGAGCCCAGACTTGAACCCGATCGAACATCTCTGAAGAGACCTGAAAATTAAATTTAAGTCGCTCTGGATAAGAGCGTCTGCTAAATGACTAAAATGTAAAATGTAAAATAGCTGTGCAGCAACGCTCCCCATCCAACCTGACAGAGCTTGAGAGGATCTGCAGAGAAGAATGAGAGAAAATCCACAAATACAGGTGTGCCAAGCTTGTAGCGTCATACCCAAGAAGACTCAATGCTGTAATCGCTGCCAAAGGTGCTTCTACAAGGCACTGAGTAAAGGGTCTGAATACTTATGTAAATTTGATATTTCCGTTTTTTATTTGTGATAGATTTGCAAACATTTCTAAAAACCTGTTTTTGCTTTGTCATTATGAGGTATTGTGTGTTGATTGATGAGGGGGGGAAAAAAACAATTTAATCCAATTTTCGAATAAGGCTGTAATTTAACAAAATGTGGAAAAAGTCAAGGGGTCTGAATACTTTCCGAAGGCACTGTAAATGGTCCATTTGTGAGATTGACTTGTCATTTCAGTAGGCATAGGCTACAAACAAAAATCTGGGTTTATGAATGTAGTCCCCTGTAGCTCAGTTGGTAGAACATGGTGCTTGCAATGCCAGGGTTGTGGGTTCGTTTCCTATGGGGGGCCAGTATGAAAATGAAAATATATGCACTCATTAACTGTAAGTCGCTCTGGATAAAAGCATCTGCTAAATGACTAAAAATGTAAAATGTAAATGTAATTCAACTTTGCCATGGTTTGCTTAGATAGATGAAGGTACCCTATGGCCTACATCTTATTTCAGATAGTCTACAGTAGCCTACGCAAGAGGTAGGCAAGATGTAAACTGAACGATTTAGCAGTTTGCTTAGTTCAAATTAACAGGCTCATTTATTCAATATGAATAGCTTGGCGATTTCAAGGTAAGAAGTGTTTCCCAATAGCCTTCTGGAATATGCTACTGAGGATGGGGTCATAATTTCAATCACAGAATTAAATATGAATAAGTATATGAACTCTATGCTTGTCAACAACAACCAGTGTTTATTTTTTATTTATTTTTACCTGTAGTCTAATTTGACTGACTGTTGCCATCAATCTAATGCGTTCTAACAACTGATCGGCAATTGAGATAGAGCTTTGATAACTTCCAATTTATTTAACTAAACATGGCCATTAATAATTGCATATTAACACAAGGCTACAACAACAATACACTGAAGTTATAGGCTATCTATTCAATCCGTTTGCCAGCTCCAGCTAGGCTACAGGAGTGACACAAATTGATTTGCAATGACTCCAGTTATATAGTCATTTCAACAGATTTATTGTATCAAATGGTAGCCTACAGTAGCCTACAATTGCATATAAATTAATAGGCTACTTGACACCGTTTTCGATAAGCAAAATCGACATTAGAATGGAGTTTAAACCACCTCCGAGCAAATTATCTAATGCGCTCTAGTAGTTTCCCAGTGTTTTGTTGTCGTTATTTCTTGATG